CCGTCCCTGCCCATAGTAGGCTCCTGCCAAGAATACTTGTCCATCCTCTGTGGTACCAATGGGGAAGGCTAGTGGGCCGTGGACAAGAACCTCAGAAGCTGCTAACCCATTCTGGAGGTCAAACTCTGTGACCCCCTGGAGTAGGAACTCCAGGTTATCCTCAAAATCCTTACTGATTCTGAATCTGAAAGGGCAAAGAGGAGAGGGAAAGAGAGTTGCCAAGCATAAAAGACACAGTTTATTTATATTCTGTCTTTAAAAAGATGAAAACATGCAGGAGAAAGAGACACAGAGGGAGATGAGCAAAAAAAGAATTTCCATTTTGGTAAGAGCTGTACCCATACTTGTTGGCTAGTCCACCACATCCAAACTGAAATATATGAAAAGGTTTTGGGTGGATTGCCATAAAATTTGGTATAGAAATCACACAGCCCTCAAAATTAATTACAATACCTTGGTGATCCCCTGATTTTAAAAATTCCAATTTAAACAATCACACACAGTGCTGATGGGAAAATGTTCTCATGCTTAAATACTGAACTAAAATGGTTATCATGATAAACACGCATGGTTGACATAGCATTGTCATGGTGAACAGCATAGCATTTAGCTAAGCAGTATGCCTAAATACTGCCTGACTGGCATGAAAAGAAGTATACACTCACACTACAGCCGATCCAGGAGGATGGGATCTGTGGGTAGCACAGGGACTCTACCTCACTCTGATGCAGAAAAGTAGATCCCTGCACACCGACACCTTGTTCCTTCAAACTGAAGCAGTGTGCCTCACTTTAGGGTGTGTGCATCAGCTCATGCCTGCCCCGTATCAGCACTCATCCTCCAGTTTTCAGATGCCCAGTCTTTGGGTCTCCACGCTGAGGCATATACATACACACCAACTCCAGATCATACTAAAGGCCCACCACTTTGGCTTGGAGAGATCTTGCTGAGGTTACTCAGCTATTGCCTTTAGGTTTGATAGACCCCACAGACAGTTGTCAGCACCATCCCTCTCAGCAGGTCAGAGCGTTCTCTACCAGAGCAGGAAAGGCATCAGGAGCCTTTCATGCCCAGGACAACATCCTCCAAAGCGTACGAGAGGCAGCCATCAGACCTGGCCTTTGCTGTTCATTGTAAAGAAAACATTGATCTCCATCAGAAACCAGTCACGGAATACGGGGCCGCCGGACGGTCAACTCTCTCAACCCTCTCATCAGGGAAATGTAGGCTTCATGGTGGTTTTGTGTAGGCTGGTTGGACATGGTGAGGAGGACTGATGGAGACTGGATGAAGTGGAGGATTGGTGGCAAAAGAAAGCTAGGTAAATTGTGTTAGCACATAAGGGTAACAATTGTTCTTAGATACTTGTATGTAAATAAAAAGTACTTCTGATGGCTTACTCTTAGGTAGAACAACAAAACATAAATCTAAGACTAGTAACAAAGTATGGATTACCAAAAGTCTGCTCATTTTTATCACAACAAAATCCAACATAAAGCAGAAAGTTACCCTTTTACACTGTAGCACAACAGTTTCCCAAACCTTCAATCCAAAATGAGCACTTCTTGACAAGCGAGAAAAGTAGATGTAAATGAGTACACAAGCAAGGGGGAGCATGCAGTAAAAAGGCAAAAAGAGGAGGGACTTAAGTCCGACAAGTTGTCAGACAAAGAACACACTCATAAAGATTACAACTCACTGGACAGTAATTACTGGACAGTAATTACTGCCAACACTCTATGTTTTTATAGCCCTCCTCGGAAACATCTGGGCTGACTGACACCTTGCCTGAGACTGTAAAAAAAACCCGTTCAGTCCTGTGTGAAAGACGGTATTTGTGCATGCCATGACTATAATTATAGTACACTAACTGCGAAATGTCACATTCATGTATTCGTTTCTTAAAGAAACCTATGAAGATTTTCTGTTACAGTAGAGAAATCAAATATCAGTATAAATTGTTTTTTGGTTACGAGAAAGAGTTTTTGGTAGGAAATTATAATTCTTGAAACTTAAACTGTTGAAAAAAAAAGCCTCACAAATACATACTTTAAAAACAAGAAGACCAACTATAACATACAAAACAAAATTACCTTGAAAGACTCGCTCTTTTGGAGCAATTATGTGCTCACACCGTAGTATGCAAGTTAATAAATGAAAACCAAATCACATATCCAAAGAAATACCAGTTGTCCAGTCTATTGTCCAGTCATGGCAACATGTGCTGCTGATAATAATAAAAGTTACTTGATTTGGGAGGTTAAGAACCACTGCATCAGATTTCAACATGCAGTTTAGCTCCCAGCCATTGTTTATTCTCCTTCAGCTGCTTCTTCATACAAATGGAAGTCAGCAATTCATTTGAGCGTCAACTTTTTAACAAACCTTAACATTTTCCACAACTTTCATAATTATTGATTTTATTCAACTTTTCCCTTTTTTATTGTGTGCAGATGTTGATAAGAAAACACATTAATGTCAGATATCGGGCTAATATCAAGGATAGGCACTTCTATGTGAGCAGGCATTATCTTATCTAAGATTGTGGATATTTTTATTCTTAAATCGAGCTGCATTTTGATCACTGTGGTTAATTCTTCCTCCAGCAGTCAATCATCAATTTCAGAGGTACACTTTGGTAAACATATTAAACCAAATGTTGAGAACAGCAAAGCCACGATTGTACAAAATTCTCTACCAGATTATTTTTTTTCATCTCTCCCCATCTGAATGGAGATCTCTTTAGATGAACTGGGAGGATTTACCGAGCAGTTTTTCACTCAACCATTGGTGAAACTGTTTTGTAAGAACAATGTGGAACAACATTTGCACTTAAAATGGTATAACCTTGAAAAACTCTTATTCATATTACTTCCATGTTGTACTATCCATATATTTAGTTCAATATGTGCATAGGGTGTATTTTACCATGTACCACAATGTTTAAATGAATGCATTCCTTACTACTCATTTAAGAACAAATGGATGAATTAAAAAACAGTAGCAGAGGTGAAGTAAACGTTTATTAGTGACTTTTCTATTGACAGTAAAGCCAAATATCATTGTGGTGAAATTACAGACGTGTTGATTTTATACAGCCTGACTGACTTACTGTACTGTAGTATGTAAGTATTAAGATGTGGCAGTAGAGCAAATGTACCAGGGAAAAATGCAGATTACATATTCATACAAGAAACATCCACACAACCGAATAATTAGTATTATGACCCTGAATGGCTTTTTTTATAAAGGACTTATGAAGAGTACTTACTGGTACTGTGAAATTAAATAACTCCCTAATGTGTACAGCACAAGTTATTGTGCTAGTGCTAAGTACAAGGGACTGAGACAAGTGGAGTGAAGCAAAAGGTCTAAATGTAGATATGAAGAGGCTGCTGCATTTTCTAATCAAACCGTTTTTTCAAAGTAAGTCTACCCCCGTAGCAATCGTGTTCGTTTACTGACTTCTTGGTTTCTGCACTATAATAAGCACCCCTGCTGTGAAAAGCACCGCCGTCCCTGGAATGCATATTTGAAGATAGTCAACTTAAAACAAAACAGATAATAACCACAAGGCTTGTTAATCATTTATAAATTAAGTAGACCTCAAAAGTGACTAAATTACTTTTTGATACACAATTTACTACAAATAACAACCCACACAAATCAATAGTGTTCTCATTTCACACCAGATTCTGTTCAAATTAAAGTCCAGATGAAATTATAAAGTGTATAAAGACTATTTAAACATTTCAAAACCAGCTATTGAATGTGCTTTCTCTGAATTCATACATTTGAAGTACCAGTCTCTGGCATTTAGTGGCATTTAGCAGTGAAGTTGCAGATTGCAACTAATTGAACACTGCTGGAATCTGTATTTTTATAATCTGGGAATGAGCTACTGTAGAAACATGGTAGTGACCCAAGGCGTTTATTCTAAAGTTATATAAACATAGCTATAAATGTTATATGCCATTTCTGCCAAGTACTCGATCTTATACTGTGCAAATTCTGTAAAAAAAAAACAAAAAACAGGCTGCTTTTCACAGCAGGGGTTCTCATTGTGGGATGTTACGGCCACCGCCTTGTTT